GTATTCTAGCTTAGTCTTCATGTATTTTTTTGTTCTCTCTTTCTTCTCATCCCTACAGGTACCATAGCATCAAGTCATAAGTATTGAATTATATACTGGTCCCAAGTCTTGATATAGAATTCCTTGTATTGGGCAAATAGGACACACTTTGAGCCTTATAGACCACTTTAAGACTGTAGGCATGGGGGTCAGATGCAGGTATCTTCATTGGTTCTAGATATGTATGGAATTGGTTAGTTGGAATGATGTGTAGAAACAAAGATTAGCTTGGTAAGGTAATTTGAAGACATTGACGAATTGCATCTCGGTCCGGGGGGGAATATCCCTTAGTACTCCCGAGTTTCCCCCGAGCCTTGCTTAGTTAGATTCTCACCACTTTTGAGATGGGTAATTTTTCTCTAGTGATCTAGAGTAGATAATTAGATAGGTTTTCTTCATCTCATCTTACATTGATGAAATTTGAGGCGGGTCCCCTAATTCACATTTTTGGGGCCAAGTTTTTTTCGGTAAGACCGTTTTTTGAGTCATATCTCACCCTTTTTAGTCGATCTTGACACATTGTTAATGATCATCATGTATTCATGTTAGTCTCTATCTGTTACTCCATTTTCATATTACTGGGGTCTCGGTCATGCAAACTTGTGAGGGTACCCGCACAACTGCACACTTTGGGGCATTTTGGTCATTTTGTTCATCATTTACCCTGGAGGTTAGGGTTTGGTAGCAACACTTTGATTTTCCACCATTGGATCACCTTGGAGTCATTTTTGGAGATCCAGAGCTACATTACTCTCATCCTTTTAGTAATTGCTAGTTTCTTGATGCAAAAACACTTTTGTGATTATTGACTTGTTGCGATGAGTGGATAACACTTTCTTTGGTTTAGCATTGAATCATTGGATTTGCTCAGAAAAAGGAATTTATGATGGTAGAAATCATCTCTAGCTTATGGATCATGACTTCTTTACGAATATATAATCATTTACATCCTCTAGGAATTGAGAATACCTTAATTCTTAAGGCTAATCAATTCTCTTGAGTTTAGTTACTTCAATTGATTCCTTGAGTTTGATTAAGAAGGTGTGTTGTGGGCTTCCCCAACCTCGATATTACCTTTGAGGAATTTTGGCATATCATGGTTCATGATTGCTTTAACCAAATTGGGTTGAATTATTAGCTTACTTATTGAATCCTAATGATAGACAAATAAATATACATTGTGTTGAATTAGTGTACTTGATCAATTTTCTCCAATATTTGAGCATCTTACCATCTTGTTTGTTTGCAAGTATTTTAGTTCTTAAAGTCGTTTAGTTTTCAAAAAATCATAAAAACCCCTTTTTAGTTTAATTTTAGTTATTTAGTTTTTTTATACTTGTTCTATTGGATTATATTGGTGCTTGGTGATTGCCAGTATCCACGATGTAGGAATGAGGGAACTATCGACTGTTTTGTCTATAACGAGCCACGACGTGGTGTAACACTTGTGTTCCAGGTTGGTTTAGATTTATATTTATCAGGGGAAAAAGGTGGATTTATTTATGGAAAGCTTTGTGACACAGCGTGGTGCAAGGATGCCTATGGCATGGCATCGAGTAAATGGATGTGTGTTATATTGAACCGCCACACCATGGCCAAGGGTTATCACTGCGTAGCAGTTGTTCTACCCTAAGCTCATGATTCTTTTAGGGATTCCTTCATATCCGAACCCCTCTAAGTCATTTTTAGGGTTCATTACCATCCTCCAACAACCTTTTACCTTAGAAAAACCCTAGCCGTAATTGTCTTGATGATTTTGGCCTTTTGGAGAATTTGTTTGATTGAAGAAGAAGAGAAGAAGGAGCGGAAGGTGCTATATTGGTCGATCTTCCAAGGAAACAACATCATCAACATCTCACATTAATTTTATACCTTTGTAAGTATCAAAGACTCAAGTTTTAACGCTTGAAGTGCTTAGATCTAAGTTTTTATCCCATGTATTTCATATTTAAGCAAGATTGAATGGAAGCAACACATAAAGTGGATTCTAAGGGTCCCTTGAGTATGATAATGATCATATATAGGAGTTGGTTGAGGATTGGGTTCACGGATATGAGCTTTTGGTCACTTTTACTTCATTTTGACCTAAAATGGATTCTACACATGTATTGGACATGCATGTTTATAAAGCTCCCACCTTTATGTTAGATCTGGTATTGGAAACTCTTTTGGAGTGGTTGGGTTAACGAATTTTTCGAATAATGGACTAATGGTTAAGACATTGTTTTAATTTTCCATATTTGGACTTAGGGTTTAAGATCTTTATCACTTTGGGTGTCTTAACGGATAAAGTTGGAAACTTTGTCCATTTGGACCATAAAATGGACCAGATCTGAGCTTTGGAGCTCTTGGAATCGAAGAAAATGGCTTAACCCATTAAGTTGTTGGAAACCTAGTGCCCACGACGTGGTGACTAGGAAATGCCTGACTATTCGATTGTATGAAGCTCACGGCATGGCCATGGATGCCCACGGAGTGGCAGTTAACTAAAGTCAATGTTGACTGTTGACTTTTTTGCATGAGTTGACTTTTGGTAAAACTCCTACTTTTGGAACAATAGCTAAGGGCTTACCTTGTATAATTGTATAGGTGGAGTGAAGCATCAATATTTTTGGCAGTGAGAGTAGTAGCAGCTGAGTATCGACTGTGAGGCGAGTCTCTTCACTATACTTATAGGTTGAAGGCACCAATGTTGACCCAATAGAATATGTTTGTAGGATGCTAGCTGTGTTTATGAGTCTTGCATGTGTTTGTATATATTTTGGGCAATGCCTATTATGTAATACCAGGTGGAGC